CTTAAAAAAAAAAAAAAAAAAGTCCTAGTGTTCCACTGCAAATGAATACAGAGGGGCGCCACGCACCCCACCCCCGGGGAGCACAGAACCTTTGACGAGGCCTCCCAGCAGCTCCTTCTCAATTAGCATAATGCTTTACCACTGGGGTGGTAAAGTGCTGGGAACTCCAACTGGCTTGCCTTGCCTTGGCTCCTCCTGCCTCCCCTGCCAAAATCTCCATTTAAAAATGTACCTGTTCTTACAAAATGAAAAGACCAAAAAAATAAATAAAAATTCCCAAACCTCTACCTTCTTTCCTTACTCACCCTTATTTTGGGGTGGGGGTGGGGTGGGGTGTAAAAATCCCCTCTCCCCCAATACCACCATCACCTTCCCTCCTTATCAGGCATCTAAGCCCGCTAAAGGGGGAGAGGTGGGGTGTGTGTGTGTGAGCGTGTGTGTGTGTGTGTGTGTGTGTGTGTGTGTCTGTGTGGTTTCCGCCACCTCCAAAGGCTTTGGAAACAGTACATGCACTTGATGCTAAAACAAGGCTGAAGGTAGTGCCACTGTCTGATTAGTCACAAGGCACTTTGGGGTCTGAGAGTACCTCAGGGTGCGCTTCACGGGGGGAGCTGTGCTCGGGGTCAGGTGGGGGAGCCCTCTGGAAGGGAATGCCAGGTAAGGGAGCACTTGGCTTCATCTAACCCCAGAGAGCGGGCGCTGCCCCCACCGCTGCTGACCTTGGGGTGGCTGGCGGACCGAGTCCCCTTCACTGCACCGCCTGTTGGGGAGGGGGGGGCGACGCCGCTTTAAACAGTGGTCTTTTTTTCCCTTTGCCTTCAAGGAGGGGAGATTTCTCGCCTGCCGCTCGCGCTGGGGCTCGATGTGAATATATATTATGTCTGCCTGTTCTCCCCTCGTCGGCGGCTAAGGTAAGCTGGACTAAAATAGGCTATCAGTTTGTGAATGGCGGAGAGTATGTCTCAATGATTTATGGCCCATATGACTCCAATCTCGGTTCAAGAAGAGTTCACAAGCTTTAAGCTTCCTTCCACGCAGCGACTGACTCTCTCTCTCTCTCTCTCTCTCTCTCTCTCTCTCTCTCTCTCTCACACACACACACACATACACACACACATACACACATGCATGCACACACGCGCACACATACACATACATCTGCCATATGTCTGTAGGTTTGTTTTATTTTAAACCCATTAAGGGAAAAATATTCTCTCTCCAGAACCCCCCTCCTGCCCGCCAGCCTTGCATCCCCTCCTAGCTGTTCCGGGCTCACTGTAGTGTGTTTTTGTTTTCTGACTGGGTGATTGATTACAGACGAGCAAATTAGCTCCCACTGCTTTTAAGATGCATTTTCTCTCTTAAAGAGAAGGTGATGCGTGTGAGCATTGCTTCTCTCTCCCGCC